GTGTGCAGGAAGGGAGGAACCCACCTACTATCATTCTTAAGCCTTGCAACCGTTTCCCAATTACCAGTTCCTCCTGCTTAGAATAACAACAGTAAGAAACATCTTTTAAAAGAGAGAAGGGCTGGCTTCCTGGAGGCCAGTGACAAATAATTCCTTTTCTTTGAATATTGACTTTGTATCGGTCAGTTTTGTTCCTTTCAGGTACAAATAAATATTTTGTTCCTTACAGGAGAAATAAAGTGGTGAATTTTGAAGTTTTTATAGTTGATGTGGAGAAAAGTGCTTTTTAGGAAACTGATTGTCTTACGCCAAATAAGGAAGTTTTCTTTCCACCCCTGCTTCTGTCTAAACATTGGGAATTATTTCATTATTTCTCTATTCATAACCAAAGCATCTGTGATACATCACAGAAGGTGTGTTTAAATATATGTACATATACTTATGTATATATGTATACATTTACTATGTATATATTTGTCTGTCTACATCTCTAATACAATGTAATTCTCTCTCTCTCTCTCTCTCTCTCTCTCTCTCTCTCTCTCTCTCTCTCTCTCTCTCTCTCTCTGTGTGTGTGTGTGTGTGTGTGTGTGTACCATTGGAGGGAGAACTGTAATGTTCTTTTCCCATTCTCAAGTACCATCGAGTTTCTGCCTTGAGCACTAAATTCGCTTCTTTGACTTTCGCCAAATCCTGTTTAGGGAAGCCACTTGCAGTTTCAAAGTTGTGTTAATATTTCCATATGCTTTGTGAATATTTTCCTTTAGAAAAAAACCACACCTGCACCCTTTTCTCTCCACGTGGTGTAACACGTGTGTGCGTCCAAGGTGAAGGACATGTCCTTGTCATTCTTTGAGCCCCAAGCTCAGGGCCCCCTGCTATTGCTATACTTTCACACGATGGGCTCATGTCTGGCTGCCTGCTCTGTGCCCAGCCCTGTGCCCGGGGCCTGAGACAGGTGGGAATGCAGCTGACATTGCCCCCTACCAGCTTGCAGGTCTCTGCCAGGCTCCCCGTTTCAGGACTGCAGCACCTCCAGGTGGATGCGGAGCTTTGACAAACACGAGGTACCAAACACATTTCTGCAAACAAAGCCATTTATTTTAGGCTGAAGCATTTGCAGCTAACCTTACTACATGATGTGTCTGGGATGTGTCAAGTGGAATGCTTTGAGGGTGGCTTTCTGGCTTTCTTTGGTAGAGCATTTACCAAGTGAAAGCCTTCTTATCTTAGCTGTGTCACCAGGAACCCCAACAGGAAGTATGGACTAAGTACGGAGGCTGTCTGTTTGTAAGAAATATTTTAGGTCATTGCTGAAGCAGATCAGGGCCTCAAGGATTTTTCACTCAATGCTCTAAGGTTTTGTGACAGAAAAAACACACACATACAGATTTTTTTCTGGGCCACAGCTGCCACTACATGTTATCCGTTATGTTTATGTCATGAACTATCGGACTGGGAATATCCCCAAACCCACCCTCCTCCACTCAATAGGGAAAACACTGATTCCTGAAATTTCCATAAAAGATGAATTCTTCTGGGTAGGCTGTCTTGCTCCCTGAAAGAAGGCCAATCAACCTAAGAAGCCCAGAACGTGTGCTGGCCTTAACCTTCAGTAGGGAGTCATCTGCTCAGGGGCTGGGCAGCGAGACAGCAAGGATGAGCATCAGTGCTTCAAAGCCTGCAGGGAGGAAGAGGAGGATGCTGGGTAGCTTTGCTCTCGGCAGGCCTGGGAGCCAGGGCCCTGAGGGGACACTGTGAGTGTTAAGGCAATCTGGGGACCTGTTGCCTCATAACTCTGAAGAGGGCCAGTGCTTTTTTGCCTCAATGATTTCTGACATATAGCAAAGCTCACTATAAAACTCTTTTCTCTAAGAACCTTAGAATTATGGCACATGGCCTAGGTTTTTGAGAAAGGAACTTTTTTAGGCCCAGAGAAGATCATTTTATTTGGTATAAATCTTTATTGTTGAAAGTATTACATATGTTCCCCTTTTCCCCCCACTGACCCCTTCTGGCCCACCCCTGTCCCCCACCCCTGCTCCCCACCCTCCACCCCAGGCCTTCACCACCCTATTGTCTGTGTCTACGGGTCCTGTGTATATGCATTCAAGGTCTTTGTTTGAATACGTACCTCCCATCCACCCACCCTGGGATGTTTTGGTCATCTCTCATCCTTGTCCAAACTGAGACAAGAGAGGTGACATGTCTGCTTCTCCCAGTGTGGCCACCTCCTGTCATGAGTGGCAGGAAATTCTGGCCCCATTCTCTCCAGCCCATGGGCAACATGGCACCCCAGCACTTTCACACAAAGCGCCCATGGTAGCTGCACTGCTCTGTGATTCATCCATCTGCACTGCCCGAGTCCAGTGGGAGACCCAGCCCTCCTCACTGTCAGCGTTCGGTAAGCACAATATTCAAGTTTGAGACATTGCATAGCCTCTAGCAGAAGCAAGCATTCTCTTCTTGTGGAAATATGTTTGTGAAAGCTTTAATGAAGCTTTTATTTATTATGGGCATGCATTATACCAAGCGTAGTACATCTGCCCATTGGAACAATTAAAGTGGGAAAAGGAACACGTTAAAGAAGGACAAATGACTTATACTCGTGGTCAGCAAACTGCGGCTCGAAAGCCACATGCGGCTCTTTGACCCCTTGAGTGGGGCTCTTCCACAAAATACCACGGCCTGGGCGAGTCTATTTTGAAGAAGTGGCATTAAGTTTAAATTTTTTTAAAAATTGGCTCTCCAAGGAAATTTTAATCGTTGCACTGTTGACATTTGGCTCTGTTTGACTAATGAGTTTGCCAACCACTGAGTCATCACTCCTGGGATGAACGGCAACACAGATAATTTAGTCAAAACATATTTTTAGCCACTTTTTGTGTGAAAAACGTGTGTGTCTGATTAGAGCTGGTGAATGTCTCCCCCCCCCAAAAAAAATAATAATAATGGGCTTTGAGCATTAATGATAGGGTCTGTCTGTCAACAGCAATTGCTAGGACTTTGTTCAAATGCAGTCAAGCCCTGATAATAGGTGACACAATTAACATTCTGTGGTTGAAATAAATAAAATATTAATGGGTTTAGGGGAATCCAATGGAAAGTAAGTTAAAACACTCTGCATTCTTCCAGTTTATGAACGTACTGCAGTCGTGTAATTGCATTTTTTATTACTTGAAATATTTTTCTCCTAGCATGCAGTAATGGTGGGAGAATTAAACGACATCGCAATTTTTGAGAAGGAGGAAAAGCAGAGAGAACCCGCAAGTGCCCGGTGAATGAGGAGAGAGAAGGGTGGTCTAGGTGAGTCTCTGGCCAGGCATTAAGCAGCTCTGCTTGGCGAGGGGCATATTGCTGCTGCGGTTCCATCAGCATCCTGGCATTGCGTGGCTCCTCTGAGCTGTGAGGTTTTTATTAAGTAAAACAGGAGGGGTTTTTTTTTTGTGTGTGTGTGTTTTTTTAAATCAAAGGCAGTCAGCAGTACTTTTACATAACAAGGTTTTACAAAAATTTCAATTGATGTCACTAACTTGAATGTCACAAAACAATGAGCTTTGTTTCCCCGGCACTTTCTTCCAGAGTGCAGGTGCATCTTCATTTTTCCTAGTTATATTTATAAAGAGGGTTGGCAATGTCAAACACGCCGTGAGTGTTATCATGACCACAACGGTGGGTAAAAGGTGTCATCTTCTATTTGTTTATTTTTTCAGACTGTTGCATGTAAATTGCGGAGTGGGATGTATACAATCCGAACTCGGCAGCTTTATTCATAGCTTCTGAGGGGCTGTCCTGGGCTCTGAAGCCATAATAGGGGAGAATGAAATTTTGTTATAAAAAGAGGGTACCTTTTTTTTTTTTTTTTTTTTTTTCCTTATTAAATGAAGAAGGAAAAGTAAAACAAAATCCCAAATCCCATTTGCACCATTTAAATGGAAGTTTTCTCCAACCACAAAAGGATATTTAGGAGAAAATTGGGGAAACTGAATAAGGACTAGCTCTCAGATATCAGAGAATGAGTAATGTTTTTTTTAATATATTTTTTATTAATTTCAGAGAGGAAGAGAGAGGGAGTTGAAAACATCAATAATGAGAGAGAAAAAATCATTGGTTGGCTGCCTTCTGCATTACCCCTGCTGGGGATTGAACCTGAAACCCCAGCCCTGACTGGGAATCAAACGGTGACCTCATGATTCATAGGTCAAATGACCACTGAGCCATACCCGGAGGGTGAAAATGAGTGATATTTTTAGGAGGGATAATATCGTTGTGATCATGAAGGAAAACAATGCTTATTTTAGGAGATATGTACTGAAGAGGTAAAGGATTTGATGTCCACAACTTATTTCCAACACAGATTGAAAATATACATATGGAAATAGAGCTATTGTGTTAAATATTAGCAATAGGCAAATTCAGAGAGTGGGTATATGAGCAGTCATTGAACCAGGAACTGAAGGTCTATCTTTCCTTGGAAATGTTTCTGGCTGCAAGTAAAAGACAAGGGTTGAACAGTTAGTACTCATTACTTACCGAACAAGAAGGTATCAAGTCAGGGTTGGTTCAGCAACCCACTGATGCCATCAAGACCCTGGCTAATCCTGCCCATCTGCCTTGTCCCCCTCAGCTAATTGGTTGTCAATTCACACGTGTGAGGCAGGTGCGGTGGCTCTGGCCATCACAGCCACCGTCAAAGGCAAGGGGGCGGGTAGGTCACAGCTGAGTACCATCCTCTCTCACTTGCCTCTTTTCTCAGAAAGCAGAATCTGTCCCAGAAGCCCTCAGGAGACTTTTGCTTACACCTCAGTGGTTAGAACAGTCAGAGGTCAGTTCTAGCCACAGAGAGTCTGGGCAATGGCGTCAGATGTGAGTCATCCCCTTGGGCTGTGGGTGCACTGACTCTGAACAAAACTGATGTTCTTTTCACCAGAAAGAGGCAAAATGGTAGCTACTTTCCATTGGCTAAACAGATGCCCTTTTTCTCTGGAAGAGAATTGTTCTGTTTGTTTGTTTTTAACTAGGTAACAGAATTGATTTTAAATGAAATGAAAACTAAAACTTATCCCATACTATATTTGTCACGAGGCTGTTTAACAGATAGACAAATGGTGGCCCAAAGGAACTAGATTTCTTGTCTTCCTGCCCATGATCTCTTTAGCCCAGTGAAATAGAAACTTTTTACCCACCCATGAAAACTACCTTTTGTTTCACTTTCAAGTTTGGTAATATATGTTAATAAACCAGTTACTTTTAAAGATGGTTCTGGTTGTGCTAGACATTAGGGAGCAGAACAGAATAAATTCCAGTACTCGTAGTGTGAGCCACCGTTGGTCGAGTGTCCTCTGTATGCAACGTGGGTGACGTGTTGTCTCATTGACGCAAGAATAGTGTGTCCGGCTGTCACAAATATCCCCAATTCAGTCTGAATTGTTGGACTTAATAAAGAATGAGAATATGAAAAGCTTTCAGCAACTGTTTTAATTTCTACGTTCTCCCAAACCTGTGTGAGGCCATGTAATTGGATAGTCTCAATATCTGGGCTCTTTAAATGAGAGCTAATTATTGATGATAGCAGGTAATAGCCATAACTAGAGTTTCCTCTGGTTATGTTCCCTTCCCTAACCTTTGATCCAAGAGTAGACTTTCTCTTAGAAAGATGCTGCACACTTATTGTAGTGAAATGAATTCCCAAACCAATCATAGCCACCTAAACATTGCTGGGAGCCATAGTCACGTGTTCTTGGAAGGCACAGAATTGCACGGCCTGGTTTCAGAAGGTCTTTGAGTGTCCAGAAGTCCCTCCCCACCCCAACGGCCTATTTGGTGTTGATGGCTGGCATTGTGCTCAAATATGTTGTGGCTAGCTGCCCCCTGTTTCTGTGTATCATTTGGAATGTGACTGGTTATGACACTGATCACTACATGGAGGATTAGCTGCAGGACTGGCTTGGGATAGGCCTAAGAGCCCCCTGCTCTTTTGTGTCAGAAAGTACAACCAGGCTCCCTGCCTCAAGTGTCTTATTGGGGCTGTACCTGTGGCCTATCTCCCTTCAATGACCCCTTGAGGCTGTCCTATCGCCAATAGAAACCAGGTGACTGTTCTGTCTCCAAAAATAGAGTTCACCCTTAGGATAAGTATTTTTTAAATAATTCCTCCAATGTTTTATAGGAAACATTTCCTTTTGATTTAACCTTAATATAATAAGGATGCATTACTTAAAAAAAAAAAAAAAAGCGGGGGAAGGTCAATGTCTTAGAGGAGGCGAGATAGAGATGGTGAGGAGTTGGCTTAGCAGGGAGTGTAGACAGGCACCCATAGGAACAGGAAGGAAGGGGGAGCATAGGTGAGGGCAGGTAGGCAGGAGCTATCTATGATGGGAACTCAAAGAAATCCTCTCCACTTCTTTAGTGACACAGGAAACCAGGTCATCAGGTTAGCACAACAGCGAGAAGGATTTCAAAAAGGAAGTCAGGCTCTTTCCTGCCGGTGCCGAGCTATGGGGATCTCCCAGGACAACTGGCACAAGCGCCGCAAGACCGGGGGCAAGAGGAAGCCCTACCACAAGAAGCGAAAATATGAGCTGGGACGCCCTGCTGCCAACACTAAGATCGGACCCCGCCGCATCCACACAGTCCGAGTGCGAGGAGGCAACAAGAAGTACCGCGCCCTGAGGCTGGACGTGGGCAACTTCTCCTGGGGCTCAGAGTGTTGTACGCGCAAAACAAGGATTATTGATGTTGTGTACAATGCCTCGAACAACGAGCTGGTCCGCACCAAGACCCTGGTGAAGAACTGCATCGTGCTGGTGGACAGCACGCCGTACCGGCAGTGGTACGAGTCCCACTACGCACTGCCCCTGGGCCGCAAGAAGGGGGCTAAGCTGACTCCTGAAGAGGAAGAGATTTTGAACAAAAAACGATCGAAGAAAATTCAGAAGAAATACGATGAAAGGAAAAAGAATGCCAAAATCAGCAGTCTCCTTGAGGAGCAGTTCCAGCAGGGCAAGCTTCTCGCATGCATCGCTTCAAGACCAGGCCAGTGTGGCCGAGCAGATGGCTATGTGCTCGAGGGCAAGGAGCTGGAGTTCTATTTGAGGAAAATCAAGGCCTGGAAAGGCAAATAAACCCTCTTCCCTCCTGTGTTAGCTCATGTAATAAAGGTGTGTGTTCTAAAAAAAAAAAAAAAAAAAAAAAAAAAAAAAAGGAAGTCAGGATAATGGGAAAGTTATTATAAAAAATGCAATGGGGGAAGGGGTGTAGCCTATAAAGTTAGTGAGTGACTTTGAAGTGAGATCAGCTGGGGACTTGGGGGCGGAGAGGGGGTAATATATCCCTGGCCAGACCCTCTCCCCTGGCTAGTCCAGATGGAAGATTAGGAAAAATTCCAGGGAATTCCTGATGTGAGAGGCCAGCACCCAAGGAGTTCTTGATACCAACTGAGAGGAGGAGAGGGAGGGTGTGCAGGTGGCGGGGGTGGGGGGGTGAGGGGGAGGCGGTGTGAGTGGCGGGGGACCTGGCCCAGCTCAGGCTGTGATGCCAGCCAGATACCCTGCTCTTCAGTGCAGTGCCTGCCGCTGGAAGAACTGTCCAGTGCTAGGGTGTGAGGCAGACTGCACACCCCTGATGCCTCAGGCATTAGTGAGATGGTAAAGGATGAGGCGCCCTGGAGAAGGGTCACAGGGTTGGTGACCTCTATAGGTGTGAAGGACCCAAGACACTGGTCTTCCAGCTCTGGGGTAGGAGGCTGGGTAGTGCTCCTGGGCCAGGAAATGGTATGTCCAACTTTGGTGTCTTCCTCTGTGTCTTATCCTGCCTTTTGAGTTCCAGAAAGCCTCTTAAAAGGATTGTACTTTCTCTGAGTTATCTAGCAAATTTTGCTATATGGAGCAACTTTATTTTAGGAGCAACTTTGATCTACCCCATGAGCCCAAGATTTTTGACTTACCGTATGTAAGCCGTGCCTTGTTCATACGGGTAAGATGAATCAAAATGAAAGATGTATTTTGGGGGGTTAGGAGAAGTATAATAGACAGTTAGAATGTCTCAAAATAATGGATGCAAAATGTGTGTATATTTTTTTTTTCTTCTCTCTCTTCATTGCAAAGGCTTTGCTCCAGTGAGCCCGTGAGCCTGTTCTGTGCCTTTTGCTTAAGCCTGCAGTTGCTGAGAGAAGCAAGAATGTGGTTGGCACAGCAATTTGGTCCAATGCAGTTGCTCTGCAGGTAGCTGCAACCTCAATCTAAAACCAAGAATAAGCAGTGTTTCCAGCCACCGCTGCTCAGGCCTCACTCTTCACTCACAATTCCTCTATGGCTGCTGGCTGTGTTGTCCTGATGCTGGTGTCCGCCAGCAGAGGGGAATGACACAGACCTGGCCTGGCTGGTTCGCTGTGAGTGCCTCCACGTCCCACTGGCTCCACCAGAGCGGAGGTCGGGGGCAAGGCATGAGTACCCTTCAGTGAGTCAGGTCTGCACGGCCCTGCTTGCTGGTTTTGGATCTGGCTAGTCTTTGCCACGGTTCTCCTCACCCCTAATTTGTGAATCAGAGCCCAAATTCCACAGACATGAAGTCAATAGACAGCAGAGTCTCTGTCGGCAAAGCACAAATGATCTGGTGCCGATGGGCTGGGAGGAAGAAAACACTTAGAATCAATGCAAACCTACCTTGAACCTCTTTCTCTCAACGGTTTTTGTGTTCGGTTAGCTCATCCTTGGGCTGTGAGATCAGTCGCTGTAGGTACCACGTGGGCTGAGGAAGTCTGTCCTTGAATTCCAAGTGCCTTTGCCCTCCTTCTCTGGGGGCCTGCTACGCAGCTGTGACTACTCTGGCGGCTCTGGCAAAGCTGGCCAGCACGGCGCTGACCGTCACCATCCAGGGGGCGGGATTGTGAGCCTCCCAGGTGACAACAGCGGCCAGCTGGCTGGTGAGCTGTGCTGCCCTGGGCATCACAGGTCCTCGGGACCAAGAAGTAGGCCTGGCTCAGGGAACACAGTTGATGGGCCAGCCAAATAGGTCTCTGAGGGAGGGAGCAAAGTAGCCTAGAAGAGAGGGTACTTGGAGTCAAACAGGCCTAGATTTGAACCCAGCTAAAACTAGCTATGGCTCGTACCAGCTGCAAGTCACTTAAATTGTCTAGCCTTTATTTTCCTCATCTATACAATGGGATAAATAACCACTCTTTCCCCTTCCGCCAGCCCAGTTGGAGTTGGAAAAGCCGTTGGCACTGTATTTGCACATAGGAAGCACTTAAGAGAGGGGTGACATTGTTGTTATCAAAGGGATATAATATATAAATGGTACTTTGAGGAACGAAGCCCCTCAAAATACATCATGGAAGTGTTCCTTGGCCATTTTAGACCTAGAAAAGAAGGGCACTGAAAGCATTTTCAAATTCTGGCCAGTGATAAGCTTCCACCCCGCCCCCCATTCCCAAATTCAACCCCAAATGTGACTGTTGATCTCCACTTGTGTGACAGTGAGAGGCAGAATTTTTTTTTTTTTTTTTTTCAGGAATGGAGCTAAATGGAGGAATCTGGCATCTTCTTTGTTTTTTCTTCGTTTATAAAACTTGGATCATTCACACTGCGACGTGTTCATATTGCCAACCTCAAGCTGGAGCCCGTGGCCCGCCCTGCATTTGTGCAGTCGGTCCCCTCCGTTAGAAAATGTTCGTGAGCGCTGAGAGCCAAGATAAAGGAAGCTATTACGGGGGAGTCTATTAAGATGTACTTACAAAGCCCCTTATAATCACGCTTTCTTTTAAGCTGCACTTCTTTGGCTGTAGCGTGGCTTAAATAACACCATCCAAAATAAAACAGCTCTGTGGTAAGAGCCTGGTGACATGGCATTGAAAGTGCCTTCGGTCTTTGCAGAAAAGAAAATCTTTCTAGTCTCTGGTAATTCTTCTTAAAGATGCCTACAATACAGCACGGGTTCTGGTTTGAGCTTCATTATAATTTTTAAAATTATCTTGTAAATAGAGTCTTCAGTTATGGTGGAAGAGTTAAGAGGAAAAGCTTGGGAGTCAGACTGCCTGGGTTTCAACCTCAGCTTCTCCTTTCCCCTCCTCTGTGACCTTGAGCAAATAACTTCATCTCTTTGTGCCTCAATTACCTAACCTATAAAAGGGAAACACCATCAACTTATCCGAGTTGTGAGGATTAAGTGAGACAAATATATGTAGGAAGCTTAGAACTCTGGGCCTGGTCATAATAATGTCTATTGATATTATCGTAGCTGTTAAGACAGTATGGTATGATAGGAAAGAGTGTTGAGACAGGAGTTGACATAATTAGCTCCACAAAACCTCGTGTCTCCAGTCCTCAGCTTACCCATCTATTAATGGCTCAGATTCCCACACCTGATCCCAAAAGCCTTTCCCAGGTTGAACATCCTATGACTGACTAATCTGTAGTTAGACCGAAAGGAATCTTCCTTGTTTCCGCCATCGTTCACCCAGCGCATGGGTCACAAAGCCAGCAAATGCATGACATTACTTCCCAGGAGGAAGGATGGAAATCCAGTGGCTCGTTTCCTTCCTCTCACGTACAGGGATGAAGGAGGTGATCCGGCGGCTGGGCCAGATCATCAATATATTTGCTCCCCTGTCTGTGGGCCATGTGTTGACGTGGGCATCTCATGTGATCAGTGGTGATTTCATTTTTGGACGGAACTTGGTTTCGCTTCTTATAGAGTTCCTGTTTCTGTCCAGGGTTTGCCAGCGAGTTCCCCAGCTAGCTGTACAATCCCAGCCACATGCAGGGGGCCTTCCTAGAAAGGCTGCAGGAGACTGCAGACATACACAGTAATGGACCTTGGAGATGGCTTTTGTTCATTGTTTTCTCCTTTATTATCAGTGTTCTGTGTCTTCGTTCCAATGCATGTGTCTGAGCATAATCTCAACTGGAGAAAAAACACATTACAACTTTTTTGTAAAAAAGGTGCACTGAACTATGTGCTACCACTGATGGTGGGTGCAGCCCCATGGGACGCTCTCAGAGACTCTGTAGGGCATACCTCCGAATTCTGCCCCAGGGGCCAAGGAAACTGGGGTGTTTCTCCACCGAGTCTTGTCACTCATCGGTTGAAGGTTGTTCACAGGGACATTGACCTCTGTTCACGTTCAGCCTGCCCTTCTGTCCCTGTGGCTGTAGGGAGGCCCTCCGGCAGAGACACTGGTGCTAGAGAGAGGAAGCCATGGCACACACAGGACTTGTCCAGGAAAGAAGCAGATGGGGGTGGGCATGAGCTGAGGGTGTTTGGGCAGGGCCCTGACAACATTTATTTGGATTTTATTTGAGGTGAAATGGATGCTAAGGAAGCCACTGATGGATTCTTTAAAAAACCTAAAACTTTGGCCTAGCCGGCTTGGCTCAGCTGATAGAGCATCGGCCTGTGGACTGAAGGATCCCGGGTTCAGTTCTAGTCAAGGGCACATGTCTGGGTTGTGGGCTCAATCTCCAGTAGGAGGTGTGCAAGAGGCAGCCAATCAATGATTCTCTCTCATCATTGATGTATCTTTCTCTCTCCCTCTCCATTCCTTTGAAGGAGAGAGGAATGGAGAGGGAGATGTGGGAAATGTGGTGATGGTGGTGAAGGTGGAAGGAGTGGATAAAAAACCAAGGATGTCTTCCTCACTCATTCAGCAACGTCCTCTGTACCGCCCCGCATGCCTCACCACTGCTCCAGGCACCAGGCTGCAAGCCCCTTCCCCCTGGGACTCAGTTTCACCTCCCCATCTCTGAGGCCATAGTGATGGAAGCTTGTGGTTGGGTGATACGTTTCTGATTTCTCCATGGAGACCAGAGCCCCTTAGTCCACAGGAGCTTTGGAATGTTGTGAAGGAAAATGCAAATTTTGTAGGTCCAATTTAAGAGGTTATAAAAACATGGGTTGGCCAAAACCAGTTTGGCTCAGTGGTAGAGCGTCTGCGGACTGAAAGGTCCCAGATTTGATTCCGGTCAAGGGCATGTACATTGGTTGTGGGCACATCCCCGGTAGGGGGTGTGCAAGAGGCAGCTGGTCGATGTTTCTTTCTGATCGACGTTTCTAGCTCTATCTCTCTCCCTTCCTCTCTGTAAAAAATCAATAAAATATATTAAAAATAAATAAATAAAAATAAAAAATAAAATCATGGGTTGACCTGGGAACCTTATTTCTCTGATATAATACGGAAGTGTACAAAATTTTTGAGTGTGAGAGAGAGAGAAACATTGATGTTCGAGAGAGACATTGGTTGGTTGCTTCCTGTACATGCAGAGAATAAGAGCCTGCAACCAGGGTACATGCCCTTAGCTGGAATCGAACCTGGGACCCTTCAGTATGAGGGCTGATGCTCTATTCACCGAGACAAACTGGCTAAGGCAGAAACTGTGTTCTTAATCCCAAACAGCTGAGTTAGAAACCTGAGCTTTCATATGGAGATTGCCTAACCTCGAAATTATTTTAAGTGGGAGGATTATCTTTATTGAAGTTTATTTTAAGTGAGAGGATTATCTTTATTGAAGTTTATTGAAGGTTTGCACTTCCAGCTCTTAATTTTATGAACAACTGAGAAAAGATTAGCCATTTAAGATTTATGCAATTCACATTATATGATAATAATCAAATATTTAGTTCAAAAGGAAGAAAAATAAGTTCACCAGTGACTCTTGTCTCCCTGACACAGAGGAAATGATCGCATTTGGAAAATGTGAGATTTCATCATCGATGCCTGCAACCGAGAAAGCATTCAGTATGAGAGAACCTCAGGCTTTTCTCTATTGCAATAGTGGATTTTCTTTTTTTGCTGACCCTTGGAAAGGATCCAGAGGCAAAGGACACTCTGGATACTCAAGAGGTAGACAGTTCTGTACGTGGAGCCAGGCAATGCCTGCTGATGCTGATGAGGTACCTAAGGTCTCCGTGGCCTTAGTTCCTTCTCGGTGGGATGGGATAGTAGTGATGGTGCTTACCTGTCAGAGAGGTCCTGGTGATGCACTAAATAACTCCTGTGGGCAGTGTGGTCCACAGGGGCTACTTGTTAAACACGAACATTAATTCATCTTTAGTCATCACCATCATTCTTATGTTTTGGATGCAGGTTCAGCGTTTTCGTGAGCATTGCTGTGTAAGGGCGGAGTGCGGGGTGCGCAGGGAGACAGAGAGAACCACAGAGCTGAGCGAAACAGGTGCTGAGTGGTTCCCACATACCCAGTGCCAGCGAGGTGCCATTTACAATTTGAATTACAACAAATGACCTTGGGGTTGGTGGTGAGCTGCTGAAATCATACACGTTGAGAGCGCCAGTGCCCAGGGTGCATCGTGCCCTGGTCCGTGTGGTTAGCACACCAGGCCTGGTGGCCGTGACTCCTGTCCCCTCACCTGGACCCGTAGCCTGTGGCCTGCCTTGGTATTCACCAGGTATCCCCGAGCACAGGACCCATTCTAGGCATTTGCTTAGCAAATACTGGTTTCCGTTCTGATGGAAACTAAGTCACAGAACTTTGGCTACAAAACAGCTTGGCACATTGCCCATAAGTCGCTTTACTTTCCAGAATCTAGGAGCTATAACTCTTAGTGCCGCCCCTGATTTAGAAATAATTCTGTCACTGCATAATTAACCCTCAGTTCTCTGAGTGCTTTGCACTGTTCTGCTGCAGCCGATTCCGAATACTCCTAACTCGGGAAGCACTGCGAGCTCAGGACCAGGCGTGGGGGTCACAGATGCCCTCCAGGTCAGAGTGCAGTGTGGGGCGAGGCCTTCGGCAGGCCAAGCCCTGAGAGACATGGTGGATGTGCCAGGGTGTCAGGACAGCCCAGAGGATGTGTGGTGACAAGGGCAGCCCTGTAGGAGAGCGAGCCTGGCCAGTGCTACAAAGGCAGACACTGGAGGACATGGCATATTTGCTCCCCATATTTCTTTCTTCTAATTTTATTGATTTTCAGAGAGAGAAAGGGAGAGGGAGAAGCATCAATGATGAGGGAGAACTATTGATTGGCTGCCTCCTGCACGCCCCCTAGTAGGGATCGAGCCCGCATCCTGGGCATGTGCCCTGGTTGGTAATTAAACTGTGACCTACTGGTGCATAGGTCAATGCTCAACCATTGAGCCAGCCACACTGGCCGGGCTCCACATAATTCTTGAGTTCAGAGTTTAATCCAGGGATCAGGACAGAGGGTAGAAGAGAATTCTAAAGGACCAGAGCTAGACCATAGGGATTCAGAAGGCCAGCGGGCTAGAAAAGCACCCAGGCAGCAGCTGGGAGCCAGTGCCCGCACCAGAATCCGGGGAAGATGCTGTCGCTCCAGGGCAGCATTGTCATCAGCACGGTTGGCTATTGGCTATTGCCCTAGTTGATGTCTGAGCGGCAGGCCCTGAGGCTGCTTCTGGAGTGCGATCAAACGTAGCCTTCGTGCGTGTGTGTGTGTGTGTGTGTGTGTGTGTGTGTGTGTGTGTGTTGTGAGGTAGAGGGAGAGAGGAGGCCAATTCCTTATCTGCTAAACCAGGAGTGAAGAGGAAAACTCTGGAAACGGAACTGGATTTGGAACTCAAGATTTGGCTCTGTTTTCTAAACGTGTTTGAAGTGAACTGGAAGCCATAAATAAATGCATCCACAATGAAGTTTTTGTTACCTAGTGACGATGGTGGTAATGGTGATTCACAGAGATAATTATAATACCACAAATTAAGGCAGTAGCTACATGTGCAGATGGCCATGCTATGCTCTTCACAATCTTCTATCATGTAATCCTCCAGCGAGACAGTGCTCTTAAATATTCCCATTTTGCAGATGAAGAAACTGAGCAACAGGAAAGTTCATTTAGACAATACAGTGCAAAGGCCGTGATTCTAAGTCTCTGCTACCTATTCACATCTATTTTACCCTCTCTGAAGCTGCCCTGCAGGTCTCTGGTCCTTTGACCTCACTGTGACTCAGCTTCTTCAAGAGAACATTCCAGAAATGGAGCGAGGGGCTGAG